AGGAATTTTGTTCTTCTGAGATTGGACAAAAAACCCAATGTAACTCTCTCCACTCTTTAAGTAAATCTAGCACAGTGTGGTAAGCTCCATCTCCAGTAAACCCAATGGGATCTAAGTAATATTAACTGTAAATACACCCCTAAACTGAAAGCCAGAACAACACAGCCTGAACAAAGACACCAAGATCCTCCTGCAGCCTCCCACCAGTGACAGGCTGTTTTTAAAGGTGGCTAATCTCTTAGCACTATGAACTTTGGGAATAATAATATAGTCAGTCATTACCCAAGGTCAGCAGGGGCATAAATGACCACAGAGTGCTGGAAAAGAAAAGCTCTAACTTTTATTGTTGTTGTTGTGTTCTGAGACAGAGTCTAATGTGCCCATGTGAGCCTCCAGCTAGCTATGGTCAAGGACGAACTTGAAGTTCTAACCCTCCAGTTTCTAGGTCTGGAGTGACTGGGATGACATTACAGGCCTGTGTGCCTCCATTATCCCATTTAGGCAGGCCCAGGGCCTTTGGTATGCTATGTTGGAACTCTATCCATTGAGCTACCATACACAGCACTCAAATTTTTTAAAAAGATGATACTGGAGATCAATAAGATGCCTCAGGGTAGAGGCGTTTGCCTCCAAGTCTAACAACCTAAGTTTGATCCCTAGGACCCACATGGTGAAAGGAGAGAACCAACTCTTACAAGTTGTGTATACACACACACACACACACACACACACACACACAAAAAAAAAAATTCTTAAAGATTACATTAAAACATTCCCTTCAAACTGCTGAAAATACAAATGCAAAAGTATGAGGAAACGTTCATGGGCTTAATTCTCAAATGTATATTCTTTGTTTGTTTGTTTGTTTGTTTGTTTTGAGACAGGGTCTCCCAGGACCCCCAGCTGGCCTGGAATGGAACTCACTTTGTAGACCTTGAACTCACAGAGATCTGCTGGGCTCTGCCTCCCCAGTGCTGGAATGAAAGGTATGTGCTGCCACAACTGTCTCAAACGTATTTTCAAATAGACAAAGCCCTTCTTCTCTGGGGTTCAGACAAGTAAAAGCCTCATTTCTGAGTGAGACCTTTTACTGAAGTACATACAGAAGAATAGCCTTGAACTGTGCTGTTTGACAATATTATTTTCACATGAATATATTTGTCCTTTGAACCTAATCTTGTATCAAATACAAAACAAAAACTTTTCTTAAAACAGATAAACGTCACCAGTTTTGCTGACATGGCAGGCTCTAAAGTACACATGGTCACCCAGAGCTTGACTAGGCGGATATCCTCCTTCTTGGTTTCTGCTTCCACTCAATACCTAGTGTCATGTGCCAATAAAACTGCTGAGTTGTGCAGGGAGTATAGTTCAAGGGTAGGGCTCTTGCCCTAGCCCTGAATGCAATCCCCAGAGCTGAAAAATGAGGAGGGAAGGAAGGAGGGAAGAACTGATTCTGAACGGACAAATTATCACAGTATACTCGTACAGCGGAGCATCACTCAACTCTTAACAGGAATGAATTGCTGCTAAACACCACAAACTGGATAGGCCAGTCCATAGAGACAGAAGGAAGGAAAATCGGTGGGAGAAAAGAGAAAGGGGGAGTTTGCTGATAACTGCTGGGAGTGACGAAAAGGTTCTAAGACTGATTTCGATTACTGGGTGTGCACCAATGAACTTACTGAAAACTACCAGACCATACTCTTTAAATGAATGATTTGCATGGCATGTGAACTATATCTTCATAAAGCTATATTTTTTTATGTCTCTAGCCCTCAAGTAACAATTTTTCAGCGTTTTTCATAAAAACCTTAGTTTAACTATCTGAGTTCACTTTAATGTGCCATTAAGCTCCTTATTTTAGAAATGTACACTGGAATATGTAATGGCTGAAGTCACATTATATGCAGTTTACCTTAGAACAATTCAGTGGGTGTTAGGAAGGGGGCTCCCTAGACTGGTGATGGGTAAACATATGGGGTGGGTCATGATATTCTCTACATTTGTTGAGATTTTAAATTTTCTCATAATAAGATGTTAAAAGTAGAAGGGTGTTTTTAACGCTTCCTGGTCATTTCTTTGTTCTCCCTTCTTAAAAATTTATACACACTGAAAAATTCACACATAAAATGATGTCATACCTAAGATTTGCTTCAAAATATGTGAATTTAGGGCCTGGAGAGATGGTTCAGTGGTTAAGAGCACTGACTGCTCTTGCAGAGGACCTGGGTTCAATTCCCAGCACCCACATGACAGCTAACAACCATCTGTAACTCCAGTTCCAAGGGATCTAACACTCTCTTCTGACCTCTGCTGACATTGCATGACATGAGTGCACTTCCACACATGCAGGCAATACACTCATATACGTTAAATAAAAATAATAAATAAAATATTTTTAAACACTAATAATAATATGTGAATTTAATCTGTCAAGTGAACTGGGAGCATGGAGCACCTAATTCCTGCCCTGCTTTGCTTCCCCCTCTCTGGGGTCTATCAGGACACACAGGGGCCGTGGCAGAGCTGGGGAAGGGGTACATGTGGTGCTACCGTTCAAATAGCTGAAGGGTATCTGTGGGTTCATTATACAGCACTCGGGAGGCAGAGGCAGGTGGATCTCTGTGAGTTCATGGCCAGCCTGGTCTATATAGTGAGTTCCAGGCCAGCTGGGGCTAAAAGAAAAGAAAGAAAGAAAAAAAAAGAGCTCTCTTTACAAATTCAAAACATGTATTTAAGCTCACACTTAGCTGTTCACAGATATAGTATCCACTGGCTCTGTTGCTACTTTGCAAATTCTGTGGTCAACCTTAGTAACAAGTCTCATACACACAAGGGAAGAATACCTGATAGTTACAGGGCTGCATACAGACCTGGGGTTCAGGGTAGGGTATGCCACCAGAAGAGAACCTCTCAGTTCCAAATTCTTGATTCCTTCTTGGCTCTGGTTTGCTTGGGCCTGGGGACAAGCCCAGCCAGCGAGCCCAAGGTACCAGTCTGCACATTCTGGTTGATGGGCTTTGTTTTATATTTCATCAAACCTAACTGTGGCCTGCCTAGCTGACATCTAAGTGAATTTAATTACCTCTGAAATAATTCACAATTGGAGACTGATCTCAGATTTTAGTTTTAGAAAAAGAAGAAAAGCAAGTTGGGGGGCCAGGGGGTAATGTACTTGTTAGCATGTGTATGGAGGCCAGAGATTGATGGATTGATAACAGGTGTCTTTCTCCCTCATGCTCCACCTTTAAAAAATTTTTAAGACAGGGTCTCTCACTGAATCTGAAACTCATCGGTGTGGCTAGGCTGGCCAGCCAATGTCTCCACCCTCTCCCAACCTGCCCCCAGCACTGGGGTTACAGGCTCCCTTCCCTCACACACCCAGCTTTTATGTGGCTTCCAGTGATTCAAACTCAGGTCCTTAGGCTTGTGCAGCAGGCACTTTACCAACTGAACCATTTCCCCAGCACTGCCCCCCAATCTTTTTAGTGAACAGTCTTTGAGAAAATAGTAGATTATGATTTTACAATAAGCAAATCCATTAAAATACATGTAAGATAAAGGATAAAATATATGACCCATTGTATTTGGAGCAAAGAACTGCAATGACCATTTGGATAACTAGCCTGGCAAGTGGAAAGGGAAGGATATGGTCCTGGTTCCTAGCCTGTTTAGAGTACGCAGCCTTTCAGGGTTCTCCAGAACACTCGAAAGGACAGTAGTAGAGTCCAGGTACAGGACTACAGGGTAGAATTCTGTCTACCTAACATACACATGGTGAGCTTCACTCACTATAGCATAAGACTGACGTAAGCAGGACCGGTCAACACCACTGAGCTTCAAAAGAAGAGCAGTCTGACACTGGTTAATACGAAATTTCAGGTAAGTCCAAAGAATCTTGTGTTCTTAATGTTCTTATTCAATTGGTCCAGGTTCTATAAGTTCTTCAATGTTCTTAAAATGTGATGTTGAATCCGGACATGCTTGGACCAGCAGGACAGGACACTCATTTTAGTAGAAGCCATAGGCACCCCCAGGCTTTCAGAGTGTTAGTTCATGAAAAGGGCCATTGACTTTACTCATCCTCCACAATCATTGCACAAAGATCTGTTTCCAAGGCTCTCAGCGCCCCCCTCCCCCCGCGCGCGCCCTGCCCCCCAGCAAGGACCTCAAGGATTTAGATGGCTTGGAAGGTGTAAAACTACTAGGCAGCAGGAGTGAGTAGCTACTGGGTCCACAGATGCTTGCTCACAGGCAGCCACTTTTCTTAGAAGTCAGCTTTCCTGCACCCCGTTGGCAAAGGAGGCAGAACTTGGTGTCAGGGCAGGCCAGACAACCCCACTAGCTGCCCAGTGCTCCTGGAGCTCTGGGGAGGCATCCCTAATGACAGGTTGTTTCTCCATCATCCACTCCTGCACAGCAGCCTTGGAGGCTCCAGGAACCCACCTGGAGTTAGGGCTTAATGACCAGGTACCCGGCAGCAGTCACACACACCCTCTCATTACCTCTGAACTCCTCAAATAGAATGCTGTCATCCAACACCAGATACAGTTCTTATTTATGTGTATCTTAATGAAGAATTTTGAAAACAAGATATGCGTCCCCCTCCCTCCTTCAATCTGTCACTTCACTTCATCCATCCCAGAAATACACCTCCCTGTGCGGATACTGTTGAAGCATCCGTGAAGAAAACAGATCAAAACCCCTGCCCTCTTTTGACTTTGCCAGTGCAGTAAGTATTCTGATGGCCAAAAATGTTTTAGATTATTTCCCTCCCATATCCATGCCAGTCTCTCAGAGAGTTGGCTTTCTCTGTTTAATGCAATTAACTTGACAGAAACAATAAAATCCTCTAGCTTGCGAAGAACAGACTCTGCCCAGGCGCAATCCAATTCGCCCAGCGTCTCCCAACGCTTTTCCCCACTCTGAAAATCTCCACACCCTGCAGGTGGTTGGAGGGAACCCGTCCCCAAGCCCCACAGAGGCGCGCTACTCACCGAAGAGCCCGCCCAGAACGGACACGAGTTCTTCACCTGCGGCGAGCTGCTCAGCGACAGCGCCCCGAAGCTGAGCGCCACCATGCAACAGCCCAGGATCAGCTGCAGCAGCCCGAGAGACAGCAGCGGGCGCGCTGGCAGGAGCGCGGAGCCGGGGGCGGTGGGGCGGCGGGAGGACAGCGCGGGCGGCCCGCCCAGCACCGCGGAGGCGG